AGGGGGCGTCATGTAGATCAATGATATTTTTTTTAGAAACTCAAAATCTCATGGGGGGGCGACTGGGGGCGATAAGGTTTCATGGGGGGGGGGGCTGTCGCCTATAGTTAACAGTACAATGATATTTCATCTCTTTTTTGCACCTATTTGTTTGCGGGATTATTACAAGTAATACTTTGTTTCCCCCTATTTATGTTATGTTCAGCATTACGACGGTACTCTGCCCCCCCCCCCCCCCACACCCCCCATTGAACATTACGCAATGACTTTTTTTCAGCTGCTGATTAGGTTTTCTTGGTATTCAGCATTATCGATTACCATCCTTCACATATTTTAATTCTGCTTGATTATTGCTTTTTACTACTTGTTATCCATAACGAGATTGACTTTTTTATTCATGAACTGATAACACAACAAAATAGTGAATTTCATGTCTACGGTACACGTAAACTGCCCTATCTAATATTACAGCCTCTCTGAAGGTTCGTGCACAAACACACACACATACTAGTTGTTTCCATCTTCAAATGTATATAAGTATGTCTGTTAGCAGCATGTGTGCCATCGCCATGATTTCAACCTCTGCAGTCCACTTTCCAGAGCCAAACATTTTGTTTTTGCCTCATGACATATTCCTCCATGTTAAAAAACCTTGTCGTAGAAAACCATTGAATGTATCTCCATTTGCAACATGTGATTGATAGTTTCCATTCTTATCTGCATGTGATTATCTTCAGTTACGACGGTACTTTGTTTTCCCCAATGGATTAGCTTTTCTCCATAGTTAGCATTACGACGGTACTTTATTTTCCCACGGTTGATTGGGTTTTTTTTTGTATTCAGCATTATCTTTACCATCCTTCACATCTTTCAATTCTGCTAATTTAATGTTTTTTACTCCATGTTGTCCATTACAAGATTGCCTTCTTGATTCATAAACTGACAACACAACAACATAATGGATTACATGCCTACGGTCCATGTGAAATTCCTCATCTAATGCTTAAGCCTCTCTCTCAAAGGTACTTGCAGAAAAAAACAACGTATCTTTATTTCATCTTTAAGTGTATATGTGTCTGAACGCAGCATGTGTGCCATCTCCATGATTTCAACCTCTGTAGTCCACTTTGCAGAGTCAAACATTTTTTCCTCATGACGTTTGTCCACATTAACGAATCCTTGTTGCAGAGAACCATTGAATTTATCTCCATTCTTCAACAGATGACTGATTATCTTCATTTCCTTACACATTCATAAATACCTCAGACAGTTTAGCTATTCCTATTGGTCGAGAGCCCGTCACGTGGCTGGTCTTAAACGGATGATAAAGACATGGCTAGCTGGTCTTAAACACTTTTCCAGTGTCACAATAAAATGTGGACTCCTAAAAATTCAGTACCTCTTACCGTTTCATTGGTTGAACGTTCACAATCCTCACGTAGGCATGCGCAACACTACATGCGAGTCAGAATTTTATAGTTCTAAATTCAAAACGCAACGCCCCAGGTGCGTTCTGCGTGACATCGCGCAGAACATGCTACGCGCGCGTCAATCTCCATAAAAGGGTTGTTTACATCTTACTCGCCAGCTGAACACTCCATTATTTTGCTAGAGGGATATTTCAAAAAGCATGAAGTGAACTTGTTGAACGAAATCGGGGTTTTTTGAACGAATTATTTGATATTTTTTGCTGATAATTACCCTCGCCTCCGGCTCGGGTAATTATCAGCACCCAGACTCTAAGCGGTATTAAACAGAGTGATAAAACCCTCTCGAGCACACATTTATTCCTTAGTAAATCGAAGCGCCCAGTTAAAAAAAAGCTTTACCATCATCTTTTAATGTCTTCACTGAATCAGGTTAACCCGTCTCTTCCCATTTATCTGAAATCTCATTACAGTCCAGAGATATTTCAATTTCGAGCTTATTCCATATTGTCTGCAAAGTCCATTCTTCCAAGCATATGTCAGTGAACCAAACTTCAAACCTTGTAGTTGTGTCACTTCCTTGATATCAACATCACTTCCATCATCAACTATTGCAACTCATTTAATGGAAACTATGTTTGCCATGTCCCTTCTTATAATTTGCCAGATCATGTTCATGTACTTGACAATTCACAACAGCGCAGGAACTACACCAAAACTACTACTTCAACCCTTCACTCTTTCCACAATCACTCCTTCGCACTAGCAAGATGTTCCGTCTTCTGTCTACTACCATTAACACCTTGCTTTACCTCATCATCTAACCACACATTTACCTACACTTTCAAGCTGCTGATAATTAGACAAAAAGACCGATCTTAAGGCAATAAAGTGAACTTGATATGCGACATTGGACATTCACATTTCGTTTTACATATTTTTACATATATTTTCGATATTGGATATGCACATATGTTTGAACAGCAAATGTCCATATTTTATTTGGATAGTTAACATTGGATATGCATATAGGTTTCTGCAGCAAATATCTATATTTTAAAGTCCGGGGGAGGCGTCATACAGATGCCCCCTGTGAATCGCGCCAACGGTTCCAACGAAACGCCCCACTATAAGGTTGTCTGGTAATACACGGACAGTGAAAATGCACATAGGTTTTTAAAGTGAATGTCCATTTATTTGAATATTGCACATTGGATATGCACATAGGTTTCTACAGCCATAATTTTAATGTCTGGGAGGAGACGTGATTTAGATGCACACCTGTCGTGAATTTAAAACATTTAAAACCAAAATTTAAAACCAAAGAATATGGATGTTAAACGGTTTTGTTATTGTTTGTAACGCGTTTAATAATCCAGCTCTACCCCCCACCAAAAATATAATGGCAAGATCCAGGATTGGTCCCGATCCTTAAATGGTTTCTAGCCCAATTCGACCCCATATTTATGCCAAATGTGATGCTTTATTCACAAAGTTCACGATGTTTCGCTAAGCAGCTCCACGTGGGAGTCATCGGCGCAATCTACGGCAGGGCTGCATCTCAATCACGCCTCCATCTGGACTGCCAAAACTAAGTACATTCGCAGTTGAAACATATGTGCTTTCTTATTTGAAAATTAGCAGCTCGTTTTTTTGGGAGTCGTCGACGCGTTGTGTCTCAAATACGCCTCCTGTACCTTGACTTAAACACATATGGATTTTCGGTGTAGAGCCTATGTGCATATCCAATGTCCAATATACAAATTATAAAATGGACAGTCCCAAAATGGCTTTACTGGGTAACTGTGAAGCGCCAAGTGAACATAGGAAGCATAAACTTGGCCATCGAGGCGAGCGAGCGTTGCGTTCCAGGTTGAGCTACATGTATAGAATCGATTTAAAAAAAGGATGTACTCCTGATTACTGGGGTCGATTATCGAGTCCGTGCAAAATTTGCATACAGAGAATCGAGTACGGGCCAAGTCCAAATAGTTTTCGAGTACTGAAAGTCGAGTTTTACCTTACCTTTCTTTTTTTCCTTTAACTTTCCTGGTACAAGTATGTAGATATGATATGTTTACATTGTGTGATCCCCCTAGACACCCGCTCAGATTTGAGATTAGTGTTCGATTGAGCCTGTTTGTTTTTATCTCGTCAAGAATGAAAACACGAAAAGGCGTAACAAATAACATTTTGGGGCACATTTAAAATCTTAGTTTTCATCCAAATTTTTGCTTGCACACAATTGTCGCATATTTCTACTGAAAAAGCGTCAGCGTTTAGTCGATGTCCACTTGTTTTGTGCACAGAGCTCGCTCTCGGCTTGGTTGTTTTTAATTTACGTATTCGAATCATTTTGCCTTAGAAATCATTGTTATGAGCAATTTAGTATTACTTAATTGTTTATTACGTTGGAATGTGCACGAAAAAATAAAATAAAAATAAAAATAAAAACAAAACCCGCCTGCTGCTGACCTCGCGGTCTCAAAAAATGTCAATTGATTTTGTGACGGTAACGAATGAATTGACCCTCATCAATAATGATAATTGCATAGACATTGTTCATTTTAATATTATTAAAAAGCATGTCAATAGGACAAAGAAAAGAACGATTCAAAAAGAGAACGAACAGAACGATTAAAAAACAAGTGCGATTGACAATAAGTTCTGGCCGTGGTACAATAAGTCTTGCATGAGAGTCTTGCATGAACTCGATAAACAAAATGATCCCTGCCAGACCTTTGAAATGCGATGCCCAAAAATGCGACGCCGATTGCAAGAATGAATCACCATACTTTTGGTCAATTGTTTGGACCGAAAGACAGACCATCCGACCGATTGAGCGACCGACCAGCACGCGACTTGCAGAAACTTCTGCCAGAGCTTAAAAATAGGAAGTAGTTAGCCCCTGAAATCCCCTGTTGAGAAGAACTCCCTAGGAGAATGAAAAACAGGTGTCATGAAACCCCTTAGAAAGATAGAAAATAGTTATCAGGAACCTCTAAGCTGATAGAATATAGGTAGTGACAATTTGTATTCCCTAGAAGGATAGACAAAAGTGCGAGTGCACAATAAGCTCTGGCTGTGTTGCAAGACGTCTTGCATGACAGTCTTGCATGAAATCGATCAAAATGGTCCCGGCTAGAGTTTATAACACGATGCCGAAAAAATGCGATGCCGATGGCACATATAGAACTTACACCAAACCTTTGGTTAATGTTCGGGATAAACTGACATATAGACAGACAGACCGACAGCCCGACAGACAGACCGCCAGACAGACAGACAGCCCTACCGACCGTCTGACCGACCGACCACCAAGAGACATGTAGAAGATCCTACAAGAGATTAACAATATATTGGAATTTTTACCTGAATGTCTTAAAAGTTAAACCTTTTCTGAAAATCGGAACATTCTTAATATCTTCATTAAACTGCTATCCCCTGCGGGGTTTTTGGTCATATTTGAACGACGACAATACTTTATTGTCATTTTGACCTCTGCAACCCTCGATCAATTTGGAATTTATTTTTGCATCCAACGACCTGTTATGTTTGACTTTTTCCCCACAGATGTTTACCACGAGAAAGGGCCATCAGGCCATGGGATTTGGCTGGATTTCATCAGCATTGCTGACAGCACTAATTGCTATAGGTACGTCAGTAACCATCAACTTCTTTCGATTACAATATTCTGCATGTATCTACAATGGGTCTGTGGCATGTACCGGTAATTAATGAGCGTAGTGGCGTAATCTGGAACATCAAACCAACAAAATGGGGCACGGTAATAACTGTTCAGGTTGTGGGTTCGAGTCCAGCCTGGGTTTGCGATGCGTGTGTCCTTGAACAAGGCACTTTGTCACGTATTGCTTGTCACCGCGCAGGAATAAATGGGTAACTGTGAGAGCAGAGGTGGTTTTTCGCGAAATAGATGTATGGATTTTACTAAAAAACTACGAATTTCCAAGGTTGGTTGATCCGTCGCAAATGGAAAAGTTTGAGAAAAGGGATATTAAGTCCGAGTTTCATCCCAGGAAAAAACTATGGTTAAAATAAGAGCATTTCGACATAAGTGTGCGACGTTGCAAAATTTTAATACACGAGAAAAAAGGAAGTCCCCCACTTCTAATAGAGAAACAAAGTACAATAGCTTTTGAAATGCTCTCTTTTCATGTAAGTGCGATCATACATATTGATATATCCTGAAGAGCGCCACCTTGTGAAATGTGGTGTCCAGGCCGCGAATTATTTTTTTCCAAACATCATCGTTTGAATGGTTGTTGAGCGTCCTCTATGATACTTTTATTATACGTACGCAGGTATATAATGCCACGAATTATGCGGTTTGCTGTCGCGCTCTGCAATGGCTCGGCTGGATAATGCCATGGTTTTGAGTTTGGATGGTGTGAGTTTGAAACCCATTTTCTATTTTTTTTAAGATAAATTTTGTTCTCAATTGCTTATGTCGTTTTGGGAAACAATTCGCGAACAGCTCCGCCCCCCTCCCTCCCTTCCCCAGCTTTTCGAATTTCCACGGCTGGCAATATTTGGATTTTGGTCATTTACGATTTACGACACAGTTTGACTGAACCAGATTCTTTTTTTTCGGTAAAAATGTAAATATGACCTGCCATAGCGTAATGAGGAATAACCCCCAACGTTGACTTTTCACGTGATGTTTATCAGGTAAAAGTACAAATCATCTGCTTTCCAATGATACCAAATTGATTTGTGTAGCTTAATTTATTCCAAAAATTTGACGCAGAAATTTTAACAGTGTCCTGCCAAGTTTCGGTAACCTCATTTCGAAAAAAAAAACGGCTTTAAAAAAAAAGGCACGCATTGCGCCGCCAACGGCAGTGAAAATAGTTCTTTAGATTTTTCCACTTTTGTGGGTAATTTTCGTCTCAATTAAAATGCGTAGTGTAAATCTTGGATACGGTGGCTACTCAAAAGCACAAAATAATCAATTTCGATTTTAACTTGATTTGTCCAGTATATATCCAACTTTTGACGTCGATTACTCAAAACAAGGTTTTGGGGGACATTCCTTATTTTGCCTCAGTAGTTCATATATGTCATTCTGTTCGACATGATTAAAACTGCTCAAGAAAAAGTCGTTTATTGACGGTACACCATTCAACGTTCTTGGGGCCGCCCGATAGTCCAAAGGTCAGATAGTCCGAAGGTTCTTTAGTCCGGAGGTATACTCCGAATGCACAAAATTCCCATAAGAGGTGGTTTGTTAGTCCTAAAATGAAATAAGGTTCGTTAAACCGAACATTTGATGCAATAGTCTGAGGGTTCATTAATCCGATGGGTTATTAGTCCAAGGGTTCATTTTGTCACCGTCATCACGAACTGTGCGCGTGAGTGCGCTGCACGCGCGCGTATTTACAGAACCGTGATATTTTGGGTATTCGCCACAGTGCGTCACTTTTAGAGCGCCCCCGTGCATTTTCGGTTTCACGAACTGACAATGAGCTAATTTTTACCAATTAAAACGCTTTTTAATGAAAAAACAATGCGTATAATCGCACCAGTACACGGATAGATTAAATTACGTGTCGAACCTTTTAAACCGTTTTTTTTTTCGTTCTGGATTGCCGCATCATGCTTGGGTGTCAGTTCGTGAAGAAAAAAATGTAGCAGGTGTGCTCTAACAGTGTGGCACTAGCACTGTGGCGGATGTCAGTTCGTGAAACCCAAACTATCCCGGTTCTGTAAATACGCGCGCGTGCAGTTCGTAGTAACGGTGACCGAAGGCTCGATAGTCCGAATTTAAAATAAGGTTATATAGTCGTGTTCCCTAACGTGGCGCACTTCGAAGCTTACCCAACTTTCCTCGTGTAGTGTTGCAAAACCTCTTTGTTGATAAACCTCAAATTCATGCAGTGAAATACTGGTATTTTTACCAGTTTACTGCTTGCTATTTAACCTCTGTGAACAATTTCGGTTTCATAAAATGCAATCCGAAATGCAAAAACGGTTGCGTCCGGAAATTGGGCACAAATTGGCGGAGTGTTCCCTAACGTGGCGCACTTGAATAAATCTCAGAAAAATCCATATTAACATTTAATAATTTCTGTAAACTTGACAAATTCTGATAAATCATTAATATCTTTACTTACAAACCCAGCCATATGTTTGTCAGAAAATTATTTTCTTATTTTACCGGGCATTTTTAAAGGGTTCACTTTGCACTTGAAAATAAAATCGAAAAATCACGCCAAAATATTTTTTTTTTCTTTTAAAGGGAATACACATCATTTGCTGTTGCTGTAATTTCAAGAAATGGATGGAATTGGGGGTTTGGAAATATATAGCAAATATAGTTACACTGACTTTTTTGAGGTTTTGGACTTACGACCCTTTGGACTACAGAACTTTCGGCCTATCGAACCTTCGGACTATCGGGCTGTAACCGTGGTTCCACTTGACGTTTTCATTCATTTACTTTCTCTTTATTTTTCTCACTGAATAATGCAGTAGTCAGTTCGGTCTCAGCCCAGATCTGTACCCTGATGATCGACCTAGACTCACGCGGTTGCGGCCAGCGCATGGGGAGATTTGTCCTGCCGCCGGGCGATCCTTGCACTTGTACAGGGGTCAGACTTGGCGGTCATTACCACCGCTACGCACCTGAGTTGCAGGGACAGGATCCACCGTTGTATATGGACATGCTGCCGGAGGTGACTGCTGAGGCCATCGGCCGTTGGTTCAACTGCACTGAGAGCAAACCGGAGGAGTCGACGCTCGGAGTCACTGAAACTGCCCCAGAGTTGACTTCTACAGTTTCCCCCTGGTCGACACCTGTCGCATCGAATCTTACCGATACGATACCAGTTGTCAGCACCACCCCTGAGCCGTCGATGCTGCCTGCAGATTGTCAAGGCATCGTGGATGCTGGTCAGAACACTAGCGGTGTGTATACCATCCGGCATAAACACAAGAATATGCAGGTCTACTGTCGCATGGAGTCGGGGAAAGGATACACGGTGAGGAAAGTTCCTTATTTCCTCATACGAAAATGCTGTATTTCACAATAACATGGTTGGAAGGTGTTTCGCCAATTTGGCCCCCAGATGTATTTGACATTGAGAAACATATTCTTGTGGCAATTGTGTTTTCAACTGGTACCAAGTACTGTTGTCCCTTGCAAAAAAAGTTCTATAAAATTATATAAGAAATAATTCTATAGAAATTCTAAAGAGCATTCTATAAAATGTTGTTTTATAGAATGCAGTTTGTTTAGAAGTCTTCTATAAGGTTTTATAGGGATTTTATAGATATTCTATGAAAAAAAAGGGCCATAATTCTTTACAGCGGTGTATTGAATGATAATGAAATTAGGCTTTTTTCTATAGAGCAATGAACAAAATTGTATAGAAATAAGTTATTTTTTTATAGAATATTGTATAGAACTCTATAGAAAGTTTGGCATAGACTATAGAACTATAGAACTCTATAAAATTGTATAGAAGTTTGGCCCTTTTCTATAAGCTTCGCTTAATAGAATTCTTTAGAAACATTCAATACAATTCTTACAGAAATTTTGACACATTTCTATAGAGAAACAGTTTATTGAAAATTTATAAAGATTTCAATTAACTTCAAAAAGTGACATTACAATGGTGTTACTCTTTACTAAATAAAATAACGAAAACAAATATGACACAATTATAGTTGGAAAGACATAATAATCTTTTCTTGTTATGTTTTTTTCCTTCTGAAGTTACAAATGTGTGCATGTACAGGATGAGCAGATATCTTTCATGGGCAGTGTATTACAGTGTATGACTCGAGCGTTGTAATGACTTGAGTCAATGACTCGACTCGAGTCCGACTCGAGTCACACTTTTTGGTGACTCGACTCGACTCGAGTCCCTAAGGGTAAATGACTCGACTCGAGTCCCTAAGGGTAAATGACTCGACTCGACTCGAGTCACTGCGAGCAAATGACTCAACTCAACTCGAGTCCGTCATCAGAAGACTCGACTCGGCTCGAGCAAAGGCTAATAAGACTCGATCGAGTCCCCCCCCCCCCAAAAAAAAGCGCAACTTTTCGAAAAGTATTTGCAATGACTTACGGTGCAAAATTTATGCTCACTTTACTTTGCGAATAGCAGTTATGTATAAAATATACAAGTGTCACAGACTTGCACCTCATGGTTCTAGAACGCACAAAATACCCTCCGGAAACCAGTTTTTTAACACATTTTCTAATTCGCTGTTTCGTCATTGGTTTTGGGCAATTTCTTATAAAGCTTTTGGATTTGAACGCTCGCTTAAGTTATGGCCTCCTTTTATAAATTTTGGTATACATAGAATTCAGATAATCATGGCTCGAATTGACTCGAGCTAAATATTCGACTAAACTTTTTTCGACTTGACCTTTTGACCTAATGACTCGACTCAATTCGAGTCCCTTTTTTTAAAATGACTCGACTCGAGTCACTTCTTTCAAATGACTCAACTCGACTCGAGTCACAAAAATCAGTGGCTCGTTACAACTCCGGGTCTAGGTGCTACAGTTCACTGGGAAACGTCGTAGTGGCCGGATCCGCGTTTTGCCCGAAATGTACGGGATAATTTCATAACATCTTGATGTGACTATAGATTGTTTATAATGTGGGTTGAACCTAAATTTAGGTAATTCTACCAATTTACATGTGATTTTAAATGTTTATAGTGTATTTGAGTAATTCTGGGGAATTTGGCGGATTTTTGATAAATCTGACATATTTTTTGGTGCATTTAGCAGAATTTGGCTCTGACCTTACGGTCACACTGATTGGACGTCTGTGTCCTTTTGCAGCGAAGGAAATTCGCGCTAACACAAACACAATATTACAACGTGTTTACTGTGTAGTAGGGTGCGCCAGACAAGTTGCTTGAATTGCCTACCTAGGTTGCTAGGGTGGGTTTGCGATTTAGGCCATGTCGTGAATATTGGCGTCAATATTGGCGTCAATATTTGCAACATGGAGACCATGTCGTGAATATTGGCGTCAATATTGGCGTCAATATTTGCGACTTGGGTCCATGTCGTGAATATTGGCGTCAAAACTGGCGTCAATATTTTCGACTTGGGTCCATGTCGTGAATATTGGCGTCAATATTGGCGCAAATATTTGCGACATGAAGGCCATGTTGTGAATATTGGCGTCAATATTGGAGTCAATATAATGTGCGATGTCCCTTTAAAGCCACCATAAAGATCCTTTCGCCATAGCTCCATGGTCCAACTGAATTCAAATCTGCCACACAGGCAGTTTCTAGTACTGACTGGTATGCAAGGTTTTGTGTACATGCCGCATGCATGGAACTATAAAACAACCTCATTTCGTCGCTGGAATTTGTTGATGTATAGCTTCTATTCTTTTATTAAATGATATACATGTACTTCTTCATAGAAATATACTCTATAGAATGTTTGATTCCCTGTAGAAATTTTACTTCTCTATATAAATTATACCTTTCTATAGAAATTTGGGGTCTATAGAAAAAAATATTATAGAAATCTATAGAATTCTATAATTAGTTAACAATCTCTATAGACTCCCGCTATAGAAATTCTATACAGAATTGGCGAGCCTGTAGAGTTCTATAGAACTGTATAAAATTGTGTACAGAATTCTATAGAACTTTTTTGTAAGGGGTTGGTGCTAATGAAAAGCAGTCCAATCGCTATAAAATAGTGGAACGCCCGTGCATACGTGTGCTGTTGAATACTGAACCAGTGACATTAATTAACAAACACGCGCTAAAGCTAACGGGAAACCGGAAGTTTCACCATACAAACTAAAAATGGTTTATCCGTTACTGTAAGTTGAACATTACCATAAGTTTTACTAAACAACAAAGCGATTAAAGAAACAAGATTGTGCACCCTGATGTCCTTCCCAAAAATAAAAATGAAAGATTTAACTACGGAAAGACTCTGATACCTAAAAGTCTGGTTGATGTCTGAAATGGCCAGTATTTTTCTTGGGCGTACCTATGTTTCGTGTTTTGGTGGGTTTTTTTGTTTATTTTTATACTCCACAAAAATGCTTCGACGAATGATTTGAACTGCAGGTACGTCAGTAAAGAAAAACTTTTGGATTTTGTTCAGCGCAGCGTTGACTCGCTATAAACGTTCAACCACAAAACAATCGTAAAGCGTTGGTGGTTAACGTGTCCCAGTTTTACCGTAACTCATATCGTTTCTGACAGGTGTTTCAGAGACGCCTGGACGGCTCGGTGAGCTTCAACCGAACCTGGCAGGAGTACGCCGAGGGATTCGGGAATCTGACCGGAGAGTTCTGGCTCGGCAACCAGAAGCTGCGCAGTCTGACTCGTAACTGGGGGCGGGAACTGGTCATCACTCTGAGGGCGTTCGCTGGGGAAGAAGCCCGTATTCGTTATGAATACTTTCACGTATTCGCATCTGAGTACACATACACGCTAAATGTCGATGGCTTTAGTGAAGAGAGTGGAGATGCAGGTATACTACTTACATTGTCCTTCACTTTCAGACTTCTTTCACACATCATGTCTTGCACTGTTGTCTGCGATATAATTCTGGTCGAACTGCGCTTCTCTCATCCAATTACAATCAAAATGATCCCAAAACATTATTACGAATGTCTGAATCCGCAGACAATAATCTGTTCCTAGGCCTGCGTCAATATCAGATGAATACTTCATCCGGCCACTTGTCTATATACAAACAAATATAAACACGACTGTACATGCAATGGAATATGTTACAAATCCATAACGTTCTTTACATTAGGGAGGTTTACGGGAAGATTTTTAAAATTCCCGGCCGATAGAAAAGCATAAAGCAGGCTGGAAGCAGCGTTGAAACTGTTGATTAGTCTGTTTGATGCCTATGCAGCATTTCACCAGTATTGGAATCATGAACAGATGTAGCTAGATAACCATGATAAATAAAGAAAGCAGACAATGTCTAAACATTAAAATAACAAGAAAGAAATCCATCTCAATGTAATATTTAAAAGCAGTCCCTTCATGACAATGTTCATGCAGCATCTGTCACCCCTTCTGATTGCACACAGGTGATTCACTCCGGTATCAAACAGTTGCACGCTTCTCAACTCGAGATAAAGACCGTGACAACGACCTGGAAAACTGCGCTGAGAAATTACACGGAGGCTGGTGGTACGACGGCTGCGGTAGCGACATCAGTGGCTTGTTCCTGAGCAACCTGAACGGCTTGTACTACAACAACGCAACAGTAGATGATTACATGGGGATACAGTGGGTCACTTGGAAGGGTAAACAGGTCTCTCTTAAAGGGTGTGAAATGATGACACGATCCAAATGGTAAGCGTAAACGTAATTGAGGGGATTCATATCGACAGACAAATTAACCTAAAGTATTTGTGTTTTCTGCAAATAAAAATAACGTAATTCCAAAAATTGTTGGATGGAGATGAGAAAAAAATTATGAAATAATTTATATGAAATATGAAATATTTCAAGCATCACCAATTAGAGTTATACAAAAATGTTGATTTCAACCCCCCCACCCCCCCCCCCCAAAAAAATGTGCTTATTTGCTCGTTTTGTTTAATACAATAGTTATAACGTTTTAAGGAAGTGGCACAAACCGGATCAAAGGTGAAGGCAGCGACATCCAGACTGTCTGTCAAGTGTTTGCGTGGAAACAGACGTTGCTGATGCTAGCATCTTTTCAGTTTCCTAAGACTAATGAGCCTATCAATTGATTCCCCCACCCTTCCCCTGGGCTGCCCCACCCAAGACGTGGGAATTGTCACTTTTGAAGTGACAAAATCCCCACTCCTCCGGCAAAATTTAAGTGACAAGCACACTAGTGATAGCCTTTCCATGCAGTACGCCAATGTTAACAATGTAATTTGAGTGACCAAAATCCCCACCATGTGACTTAAAAAACGTGACAAAATCCCAACATCGGACCTGGAACAGCGCGGGGAGGGGGGGGGGGGGACAGTGGATAGGCGCATTATGACAATTAAATGGTTTACAGCAAGTGAATACAGAATGTCCTTGTAGCTGAGTCTAAATGAAAATACATGGCTATCATACCTTGTTCCATTATCAATAAAAAAAAAAAAAACAAATTACCACCGCCATAATTTATAACGATGCTACATACATTTTTAACGCCATTTTACCGATGCAACTGTTCGTGTTTATGGCACAACAGGGTGAGGCGATAGTCAATGACCTCATGCATTGTAATCACACCGATGTACTAAAGCAAATAAAACTCATCTGCCAAACGTTTCCGCAATATTGGCCGACAAGGTCGAATTTCTCAGTATTTGGCCTAAATGTATTTTTGGCAAAACATCTACATTTGAGTGAAGCGAGGAGAGGAAGTTCACCTCTCTGGATTTATTTTTTTCAAAAGCTGTGACTCTCTGGTCCGAGTTCTTTTTGACAGGTTGTAAAAATCAAAACAAGTTTAGCGTCAGATTATTGAGATAATTATCGAGATAATTATTGAGTAATTGAGATAATTGATGATTGAGTGGCGGACGCGACATTAAGTGGCGGCCGTTATAAATTAGGTGGCGGCCGCGAGGTATTAAGCTCCGGCCGCCACATATTGAGTGACGGCCGAAAGATATTAGGTGGCGGCCGCCACAAATTAAGTGGCGGCCGCTATATTAAGTTACGGCCAAGAGATATTAAGCTGCGGCCGAAACATATTGAGTGGCGGCCGCTAGATATTAGGTGGCGGCTGCCACATGTTATGTGGCGACCGCCAGCCAGATAATTGTACACATTATATTCTCGCGCTTTTTTAAAAAAAAATATATGCATCCCATATTGAATGACACTATCCGTCTTCAGTAATTAAAAGCAATACATTAAGAATCCTTCCACATATGTGTCGTTTAGAACTAAAGGGATTATAAAATTTGATGGATCTACGAGATTAATAAGTAGTGGCCGTGAGCTATTATGTCGCGGCCGCGAGATAAATAAGTCGAGGCCGCGAGTTACCCCTTATGAAAGCGAGGCCAGCTACCATGAAAAAGAAACGCACCACCGTGAAAGAGAAACACACCGCCGTGGAAGAGAAAAAGGTACCTGTCTCTAAGGGCTTCCGTACGCTTCTTTTCACCATGTAGCGATAAACATGTATAATTGGTATAATGCTTCTTGATTTTGTGGGGAATATTTTGTGGTGATTATTTTTAGTACATCATATTAAAGCGCAAATCATTGGCCTTCCAATGATACCAAGTTTATTTCTGTAGCTCGATTTATTCCAAAGGTATACCGCAAGAACTTCAACAGTGTCACGCCAATCTTTGCAAACCTCATTTCGGGGAAAAAATGGCTTTGAAACAGAAATACACATTGCGCCACCAACGGCAGTGATATAACGTTCTTCAGTTTTTCACTTTGGGGGTATTTTTCCCAACAAAAATGTTTAGTGTGAATCTTGGATGTCTTGACTACTCAAAATTACAAAACAACTACTATACGTTTTGACATGATTTTTAAACTATATCCGACTTCAGTCGTCGATTACTCAAAACAAGGTTTTGGGGACCAGTCCTCAATTTGTCTCAGTGGTGTGTCTGATGGTTTAACAGCGTGCTTTCAATTATCATTATTCACCATAATACAGCTTAACGGAATCTGTTGTTTAGATATACATCATAAACAACATTTCGTTCTTTTTTATATCAAGCAATTGGTCCATAACGGAGCCACCTGGAGATTGTCAAGAGATCTTGGATGCTGGTCAGAACACTAGCGGTGTGTATACCATCCAGCACGCATGCCAGAATATGCAGGTCTACTGCCGCATGGAACCGGAGTCGGGGAAAGGATACATAGTGAGTAAAGCTCCTTATTTTATTTCAAAACCATGCTCTATGTCACATGTCAATGTGGTGGATGGATTGTAAAATAAACTCTCAGAGCAAATGGACAATTTAGAAATAGGTTTTTGAGGCCAAGGTTTGTCATAGGAGTTCTGAGATAAGCAATGTAACCACTAAGCAATAGTGGGAAGTCCGAGCCCCAGAGCTCTTACAATGCGCCCGGAAAATGGCACATAATGCGGAGTTTGCATAATGGTCGTTTTGATGAGCGCCCCGATTTGGAAGATGGTCCCCACTCCCCACCAAACACTATTGGATTTTACGGAGGCCAAATGTCCAGGGGAACAAAAATAAAAATATGTCGACATTTCAGCACAGATGTGCTCCCCCCCCCCAAAGATAAAAAATAAAACTAAAGCTATACCTGTTCGATGAACAGGACATAGGCTTTTCCGCAATGTTTTTTTTAATATAAATAAAACGTGTAAAAAAATTCTTTAAAAGAGTACGTCAAATTGTTGTTTAAGACAATTTAGAAAGGTTAATAAATTAATTAAAAATAGTTGATGACGTCATCATGACGTCACTTCGTACTTTATACAATATTAGCAGTATCTACCTACCCACCAATTTTAGGACAATTGGACCTACCCTTATAAGTGTTTTTTTTTCATTCGCATTTTCGATGACGTCATCGTGTTGTCACAACATTTTCATGCAGATTTGTGTGCAGATATCTATTACATAACAAACTAAAACAAAAAGAATTTTGAATTTAGCATGTTGGGTTAGCGATATAAAGTAATAATCTTCAAAACTTCAAAAATCGATGTAAAATCGCACGATGACGTCATGATGACGTCACCTTAATTTTTACCTACAGGGTGAGTCAAAAAAAGCGGAACCCAAACCCCAAAAATTGTTTTTCATATTTAAAAAATTATGTAGCACCAAAAATAATAATGACTGGAAAGCCAATTTCATAAGCTACCTTTGGATGAAAGAAATTGCTAAAATTGGTTAATCCGTTCAAAAAATATTACCATTTAAACACAATGACCCTAAAACCTGTCTCGTCTAAAAAATGCGATTTCAACAATCGTCGTCACAATTGTCTTCAAACATCACCAGCGATGAAATCTTAGTTTGAACGTTAACAATATGCAGCAAAGTCCTTTGAAGGCCCGTCTTTTAAACAAGTAGATTTTATAAATAATATTGTTTGCCTAACCAGGGTTGTTAATCAAAATATCGTGTGCTACAGTTGGTGACAGTTATTGAAACAAGTATTCTGTGTCATTTTCGTTGTTGTTCCAAACAGTCAAAAACACACAATAAATTGATTTTTTTTGGATGAGACAGGTTTTGGGGTCATTGCGTTTAAATGGTAGTATTCTTTGAACGGATTGAGCAATTTCAGTATTTTTTTCATCTAAAAGTAGCTTTTGAAATTGGCTTTCCAGGAATTATTATTTTTGGTGCTACTTATTTTTTCAAATATGAATTACATTTTTTAGGGTTTGTGTTCCGCTGTTTTCGACTCAACCTGTATAACACATCTCGGTCTACCTACATACCGAGTTTAACCCAATCAGAACTACAGTTTTCTCAATAGAAAACTTTGAAAAGTGTACATTCATGATGACGTCACATGCCCCGTGATGACGTCATAGTAACGATACTTGGCACTGCTCATTATTTTATTGTGGTTTTAGTCAGTAGTTTGAAGCCATGCAGTCGTAAAAGTGTTAACTTTTGTAAGCAGAATATAATGTTCAATATAAAAAAGTCGTAAAAAATCTACATTTGACGTCATCGTGACGTTCTTTCTGATTTGTTTACAAGTATTAATATCTACCCACCCACCAAGATTCATGACGATCGGACATTCCCTTATGTGTATTTAATGAAATCGCATTTTGATGACGTCATAACGACGTCACACAATTTTCACACAATTTTCTGTATGTACCTTTTACTTAACAAAGATAATACCAACAGAATTTTGAATTTAGCATATTGCGTTCGTGAGATATGGCTTAAAGGTTAAAAACTTCAAAAATCGATATAAAATAAAACGATGACGTCATGATGACGTCACTTCAATGTTCGTCTATAACACGTCCCGGACTACCTATTTACCGAGTTTCAACCCAATCGGACTAACAGTGCTCTAGATATAGGGTGTTAAAGTTTGAAGTTAACGTCACGTGACCCATGATGACGTCATTGTGACGTCACTCTTCGGTACACAATGTCACTATGGGGTCTTGACATGGGACACGTTTCATTACAATACGACTTTGTTTTAGGTCCAAAATTCCGCGGGGGAACAAAACGTGTACAAAGTCTATGGGATTTTTGGATAGAACAATAAGAAACTAGAGGTTAATGTCTGTTTAATTAACAGAACATATGGCTTTTTCGCATTGTTGATTATTATAATAATAATAATAATAATAGCTTTATTTACAGGTGGTAGCAATGGTAGCCATGCGGTACTCATTATTCTTTTGACGTCACGTGACCTATAATAACGTCATGATGACGTCACCTTTCCATGCCCGAGTTCACAGTGGATTCTGATTCTGTGCCAAGTTTCATTAAGATTGAAGTATGTTCAGGGTAAAAAGTGGGGTCAAGAATGAAACATGTGCAAAGTCAAAAGACAAGAATAAAAAGTAAGAAATAAAGTCAGAACAAAAGCAAAGACTTTTTCGCTGAAGGCAAAAAAGCCAAAAAAAAGAAATAGGGAAAAAAAAGAGAACAGAAACATTGCGCTTTCAATCGGAAAAGCAAAAAGAAATATGAAAAAATCAGAACAGAAGCAATGCTTTTCCGCTTTCAAGCGGAAAAGCGAATAGAGAAACAAAAATGTTGGATACACTGCTGCCTCCACTGAAGATACCTTCTACTTTGCAAGTGCCCCTGTTTGGTGATGACCCCAATTTGAAAACTGTTCCGCCGCCGCTTATTACCCTTGTGTGTATCTTTTCTCACAGGTTTTTCAGAGACGCCTGGACGGCTCGGTGAGCTTCAATCGAACCTGGCAGGAGTACTTCGAGGGATTCGGGAATCTGACCGGAGAGTTCTGGCTGGGCAACCAGAAGCTGCATAGTCTGACTCATAACTTGGGATGGGAGCTGGTCATTACTCTGAGGGCGTTCGATGGGGATGAAGCCCGTGTTCGTTATAGGTACTTCAAGATGCAGCTATCATCTGAGCGCAAGTACCAGCTCTCTGTTGGTGGCTTTAATGCGGAGAGTGGAGATGCAGGTACATAATACCCTTTTGCTTTCCGTACTTTTCCTTTGGGACCTCTCTTCTTGCACAGTTGTCTACGAGAAAATTATGACTTTACTGCGCTATTCTCATCTATTTGTAGCGGTATGTGATTTATCAGATGTAATAGTCCCATATATGATTGTATTAATAATATTGTGGATATTGGATTCATGACTGCAATGTTGTTACGTATAATAGACACATTTTGAGAGTTTATCGTGCATGATAACATTGCAGTATTTGATGTGGCCCGTCTCGCATGCGCGTTAGTTCTCTCTCTCTCCTTCTCCACGTTGTTTTTGGACTAAAGTTGAGAAAGTTCAAGCTCGACGTTTGCGTTATTGAGAAGTTTTTTTTACATCCAAGATCGTCGTTCGTGAATGTCACCTGTCCGCATTTGACTCAGGTTGTACCATTGCCATGGGGTCCGCTGGTCCGTTAGCATTGCGGACGTTGAAAGTTAGAGAGGGCAGTGCATATTAAGTGTTATTAAGATTTCTACGAAGATTGATACTGAAGGTTCTACATAGATATGTATCGAGTTTTGAATCATCTCAGGATTTAAACTCAGGGTTATTTTTAATTATCTTATATTGTCTGTGCCAGGATCCAATTTGTATCTCGATACTATTTTAAGTGATAATTTGATCATTTATATTTGAACATCGAGGGATGTCCACACATATCTGATTAATTACCAATACATCAATTGTGAGCTGCAATATTGTAGTCACTGGATCACTTTATTTGGAACCTACTGTCAATAAATCATCAGGGTACACACCGTACCCCAGTTTTTAATCACACGCTCAAACTTCCGCAGGGAGCGCACAACTCAGCGTGCCCTTTCATTATAACAAAGAAAAAGACTGATACAAAAACATATTTACTGATTGTTTGCATATGTAGGCGATAATATGTTTCTGCCCCCACCCCAAATAAATGCTTCCTTCGGCTGCTTACCCATTAACATAATACACAAATTGACATGCAATGAAAATATGTTAAATTAGTGGCGTAACAAAATCGAAAACCCACCAACCGGGCTACAGGCAGCGTTGTAAGTAGTCTGGATCCCTTCCTGCAAATGCGTGCAGGATTCGCCATCCATTAATATACTTACACAAGGTCTGATGACGATACTTTCTTTCTGATTGCACACAGGTGATTCACTCCACGGTCATAATTTTTGGTACTTCTCAACTTCAGACAAAGACTATGACCTCGACGGGGAAAACTGCGCTGAGAAATTCCACGGAGGCTGGTGGTACAGCTACTGCGGTAGCGACAACTTCAAGAGCAACCTGAACGGCTTGTACTACAACAACGCAACAGTTGGTGATTACATGGGGATACAGTGGGTTACATGGAAGGGTAAACAGGTCTCTCTGAAAGGGTGTGAAATGATGGCACGACCCGAATGGTAAGCGTAGCCGTGAGGGAAGGGATTCATATTGACAGACAACAGTGAAACCGGGGGAATAGAGGGTCGCAAGCATTTGTATTTCTGCAAATAAAATAACATAATTCCGAAGGTTGATGCAGGGGGAGGGGGGGGGTTGCGGTATGGAAAGCAAGAAACAAATATAAAATCTTTCCAGCAGCAGCAATGAGAGTGATACAGTCGACTCGCGTTAATACGATCACGGCTAAGACGAGATTTCGGTTAAGACGAGCATATTTCGCCAGTCCCAACCAAAGTGTGCATGTTACCATTACGGAAAAAAGGCCTAATACGAGCTTGCAATTGGGTGATACGAATTAAAGACGAGCACTTTGGTTAATCTGGTAAGTGCACATATATTGTTATCTGTCTGTTTCCACGCGCATTTGGGAAAAACAACTGGTAAATCAAGGAACCTATTCAGTTTTAATTGCCATCGTTCTTTTGGGTCTGTTCTCTGAGTGGGTGCACCGCTTTGACAAGAAATTCACTCGGCAACGGCGCAAGATCTTGCTTTTCGTTGACGATCCATTTCACGAAACTTGCGATGTGTTGAACGCGTTGTATGTTCCTTGACCGGCGTAAAACACGTCGCATGTTCCGACGTGTCTAGTGGTCATCACAAAATGTCCTACAAGTGTCCTATTGTTAGCCAGTTTTATGCCATAAACATTACAAAAACGAGATTATAATACCGAGAGAATATGTGTGTAAGTTAAACATCGAACATTCACTGAATAATTATGAATTAGCCTAGAATATTGACATTTTAGAGAAAACATTTCGTTTTAAAAACGTTGCAAGAGGAGATCTGACGACCCTTTGTTGAACATCAGAGGACTTTTTACTGTACTCTGACAAAAAAATAAAACAGTCACTGCGTTGTGCTATAAATACACCTACGCGTCGCACTTACGACTTGTTTTGTGAAATAAATCGCAGGACACGTCACAGCTGCGACGCGTCTGACGCATCGCTGCACTGCGATACATCGTAGGTTACGAAAAGTTTCATTAATTCGGTTGCAAAGTCGTAAACTATAATAATTAATAGCTGACAACGCTTAACAGGTTATTTGAAGTTGTTAATAATAGTAGTAATAATAATAACTCTTTTCGCAGCAATAGGGTGACTTTCCCATAGACTTGTGCACAAACCTAAACTGTCACCTAACCCAAGTTCACCTTATGTTTTTTCCACGAAATTTAGTATTTATACTAATTGGACCATGAGGAATCGATCTATATGGTTAGCGACAGCAAAATTCCTTGTCCTAAGGGTCGTTTTCATTAAAGGGCGACAGTTATTTTGTCGCCTCAATAAGGTTTATCGCCCTATTGTGGACGGAGTTCGCAAAACCTGTCGCCCTATTACAGTGATAGTAGTAATACTGCTTTAACATACTTTTCGTTTAGTGTTTTCTCGATTACATTTATAATATATGATAATTAATTCACATTATATGGTATCCGACTCATCAAATCGCGTCACATGATGACTCACATGAGATACTTTGGAGAAACAAGCTCTTTGAAATCTTGCACAATGGAAATAATTTGCAAATGTCAACGGGTTCAATTTCTAAATTCACTCAATGTTTAACTGAGTGATCTTTACAATAAACGTGCTCTCATATCAATCACGTGGGCCCTGCTACGGCCATCATTTGAAACGGATGAGTAAAAATATCAACCCAAAATATTGTAGTTTTTAGGAAAGTATTAAATGTTATTTGATATTGTGAATAATAGTGTTGCTGGAAATTGTACGGCATAATGGAAAGCGTTTTCATTTTTCATAGTAACTACTCTAAATGTGATCAGAACCAATAATAACAGTATGACGTTGTCGGAGTTATTTTTGAGTAAACTGGTATTAAACAAATACTTTCAGCGTTGCTAGCCACCTTATTAGCACTGTGATGATGAGATTATATCAAAATGAAGCGCTGCAGTTTTTTGCTTTCTGATGGAGAAACTAAAATGTAGGGGGAAAAAACTCCAGTCGTCTCTTTTTTTTGGATGTGGTTACAATAAATGTAATCTAATTATGAAATCATCAATGGTCAGAACTTGTATTTTGTAGCAATGTATGAAATGTTATTGGATATTGTGAAATAATATTAATAAATACCTTGGAGAGTTGATGGTTTCTGATTGGTCGAGACTCGATCACGTGGCCGGTCATTAACGGTGATAATGGACCGGCTTCAAAGATCAAGCGAATAAATGGCCCCTGAACCAGCATTGATCAAGCCCCGTTCAGCCCCATGCAAGCCAGTGATTGGTCAAAATATAGTAACAGTCCTGCGGTAACTTTTAACAATTGAGCACTGCACATGCGCTCAACCCCCATCGCGTGAGACTGACGCGCGCGTACGCAACACAGTTGCTAGGGATGCGTGCGTGCGCGCGCGTAAGGAAGTTTTGAAACGACATCGTACAGCAGTTCAGTATATACAAAATCACAAAATTGGAGCATTTTAACTGTTTATTTCGTTATAAAGGTATTTATTAATGGGAATAACAGTGTGAGGATCCGGTCTTCACTGCGTGATAATGACCGGGTGTGGGGGTGACCGCTGTTAATGGTGTGGGGGTGACCGCTGTTAATGGACCTCGACTTCGTCTCGGTCCATTAACAGCAGTCACCCCCACACCCGGTCATTATCACGCAGTGAAGACCGGCTCCTCACACTGTTATTCCCTTAGTATTGGTGGTGATCAAACAATTAGTAGACATCATATTTGATATACTCATGGTATAATATAAATGTTGCATGTTCCATTTGCATTGATGTGATCAGAACCAATAAAATGAGCTATCCAAAGTTAATTTTGATCTCTAACCCTTTACAGAAATTTTACACTTTTAAAATAGTTACATGCTTGTTTTACCTTCATTATAATTATGACAATTATGTCAAGCTGTGAAGACGAATAGCTACGTAATATGCCGTCTCTTTACCTATAAAAACTAAAAATTGTGACTAATTGGTCAGAAGACTCATTTGTTTTTGGATCTGGTCGCATTTGTATGTATTCTAACCTCTTTATTAAACAATGTGTTGAGTTGTGTCAGTAATCATTTTTATTAAACGCAATCGAAAAGAAAACAATGTATTAGGAATCAACGTCAATTTGCATGCTGTGCGCCACAAAATAAGGAGGATACATGACATGATTTTATTTATTTTTTTTGTCTTGCATATTACGGTCGATGCAATTCTTACATTCTCTCATGACAGTTATGGACGGTCAGTTAGTCAATGAAACAAAAATCATAAGCTTCAAATAACCAAATTAGGATGTAGCCGATAGCTGATATATCATGCCGATTTTTTTCCATTGCGTTTACAAACTCCTGTTCTGTCTTGTTTGACATTTCTACCTTTCCCAGCATTTCTCCTCGTGAAAATGTGAACGTGTCCTTGTATGCCGATCACATATGTTGTATAAAAACAGGGTTTGAAAACAATGTGAATGTATTAATTTTGATGAAATGGTGAAACAAAAATGAAAGAAAATAGTTACGTTTTGCGACAGCGCAAAGGATACGGATGTAAAAGTCTATAGAGAAGACGGGGCTCCCTTCAATGGACAAACGATCGTTCACTCTGTTGTTCAAAGGATCTACGTCATAATGGAATATCTGAACAATAACTAGCACAATGCTTTGGCCATTGAAGGGGGCCTCCGTGATTGAAGTGCCAGCGGGCCCGGATGCGATTTTTTTTTCCAAACGACATCCGCTTCCCATCTTCTGATTGGTCCATTTACGTACATACTAATGCCGTGTTATCCACAACACAAACCCAAGATAGGCTTTACGCCTTGTGAGAAATGTTCCTTTCTCACTTAAGTTATTTAAAAGGTGAAATGAGAAGTGAAAAACGCTCACTGAGATTCGAACTCGGATTACCCGATTAGAGGTCAGGACTACTTCCAACCAGTCCACGAATCAGCTGTCAATCGTGGGTGAATTAAACATCATTATTCCTTGTTATATAACTTATTCTCCAAAGCCCTGGAAATCACGAATATGCATAACGCAGAAAGAGCGCCGGGGAAAAAATTCGCGGCCCCGATTTATTAATGTTATTATTATTAATCGCTTCTGGTAATGAAACCAAGGATTCCTCACAAGCGCCCTAGGCACTGTAGCTCGCAAGCCTGAACAGCTTACCCAAACCCTTGCAAAAGGTTGATCAGCCCTCCACTGGCATCTTGTAGGTGCAATTCTTGGAAGAATGGGACCATGATTCCTACCTCCAATGTGCGAATATGTGATTAAATTTTTACATGAGACCTCAGGCAGCCAATATACGTATTAAACTATATATTAATATATTTGCCTTTTGATCGATTAATGTTAGTGCATGGAATTCAATAAATGTAATCGATGTTTAGAAATAGACACTTCTCTCGCTTGTGATGGTTATATTCTGTTATATCATGATTTCTTTATTTCCAACAAAACCTTCATAAAAGAAGAAGATAAAAAATTACAATAAATACATATAATTATATACACAATGTGTTCACAAACAGGATAACCCCGACACTCAAGGACGACCCCAAGATAATCCAGACAACGTCAGAAATTAAAGATTGTCAAAACTACCTGAGCAGTCCGCCAAGAGTGCCAAGATCATCATAATCAAGAAATTGGTTATGATACAAAACTGTCTTGACTCTATCACAAATACCATGGCTGATACAGGCTACATTCTAAATGGTAGAAATGTATTTCCGTCTGAATGATGGACTAACAATGCCATTTAGTAGTGAGAAATCATCATGCATGCTAAAACTGTTTTTTATTCTGTCAATTAAAGTGTTCTTGTATGCAAAACAATCATTGGCTTCAGAATTCAGGAGGTAAGCATAGCAATACCTTGCTTTTGAAGTGTTGTAAAAAATCTGACAAACCAAATTAAGTTGAAATGTGGACAAAATATCATTGATCATACATACATTCAAACCATGTAAGAGAGGCGTAGTTTCACAGTACTTATGAAGACCCATGGTAGCTTTTACAAGCTTTCCCTGTGTTTTTTCTTTCAAGATTTTGAAAAGATATGGCATTGAAATTCACACACTGACACCCGTATAAAAGAACAGGCGTCAGAGCTGTGTTCCACACATGAATCTTGACACCGGTTGAACTGCCGTCCTTTCACATGCCAATACATTGGCATTTGAGAGAAGGTTTTTGACATTTCTTTAATATGCTCCTTCAATAATGTAGATTGCTTCGTTGTTTCGAAATTACTACGAACAATATTTTTAATCGTGGGTTTGAACCGCAAAGTACGCAAAGTAAGAGTCTGAAATAGAAACGAACCGAAAGAGTGGGGAGGACGCTGAAGGGCAATATGTAAGGGTAATGACCAGCCTGGCAGCACATGCACGATGTCGCCGTATGGTCTGACGAAACCTTTTTTTTTCGGATGTTTCTCTTGACTATCCAAACTATTATGAGTTGGAAATTAGTTGCAAATTGAAACATATTTTATTCTTCACCCAATAGAAATATTCCTTCTATTGTATGCCAATTTACTTTCCAGTCTTGTCACTTCAACTCAAAAAGTTCCCCTTTTTGACATGTGAAATAATAGCTGCACCCGCACACATTTTATGAAGCCTAACCAAATCAACATTTATCTTCATATTGCAATGATACTATCCGTTCCACGTGTTGTATTGGGTAAACCTGACTGATTATTTAGAGTTGGTGTTTCGATATCCAAAAAATATTATATTTTCTCAAGAAAACTTTGGGGAAAAAAGTGCATTCTGGTGCAATGTCAAACAAACTGCGTTAAGTTAAGAGCAGTGCCTCAGAAAATACACTCGTTAGCTGCCAGAATTCAACCGGCCGTTGTAGTTTCTATTCCAAACATTAATGTTTGTTATTATGAAGCTCTTCTGGTTTGAGAATAATTGAGTTTAATGTATTTCCCGAGTGACTACTAAATCGACCTTTGAAAAAGAATAATTCAGTTTTAAATCAGTTTGAAACCTTTTAAATTGACCCTTAAAAAAGAATAATTCAGTTTAATATACTTCCCTGACTGACTACTAAATCGACCTTTGAAAAAGAGCGAAACAAAGTTAGATTCAGTCGATCGATTCACGAATTCATTTTTCATGGCGACAAAGCCCGCACAAACCAACTTGACTTCGTCATCTGCGTCATATCACCCTGGGAATGGAAAACATTTGAAACGAATAAAAACAAAACATCTGAGTCCTTTCTTGCTCAGTTCACTTAGCGCAGTGCCGCACTGAGCGGCGGATATCGAGGATTTCGTCACCAACGCTTTCTGGTACCAAGGAACCATCACTGTTTGTTCTCTCAACCAACCACAAGGCTGAGAGATTTACCCTAGCAACGGGGACAGATGTGGCGGAAAAGAGGTGCAAAAAAACGAGGTAAGTGTAGCTGGCTTTAATTGCTTTTCAATGCTCATGTTTTTGAGACGATTGACAGATAGACGAACCGCGTTGACCATTTACCTCAGGCTGACACAGGTCGCTTCTGACAAACTCTACCGATATCAAGACCCAAGACTCAAGATGTCGGAGGAAAAATAATGTCTGATGTCGATGCTCACGTACCGCCGACTTCCCTTCTGCAAATTGTGACTTGAGACAAAAGAATGTGCGCAATTTAGCAGATTTGTTCCTGTTTGTGACGCAGCATGCACTTGAAGCAGGACTGCATTAGAAAGGCTGCTTGTTATGTTTATCTTCCGCTTTTTGATTCCGCTCTGATTTATTTGAAATGAAATCGCATAAAAAATACATTTTCACTGTGTATTAGGTAATTAATAGAAACAAGTTAGGCATCGTAGCAGAACGATCTAGCAGCTCTTTATGAAAAACCAAATGACGTTTGGTAGTAGATCTAGCATAGCAAAAACTAACGAAATAAAAAACAGGAAAATCAATGCTCTTGCTCCAGTGACAGGAATAAGGCTTAAATAATTTAAGAACAAGCTTGAAATACGGAACAATCCCGCTTTAATGAATAAAAGAAGAGCAACAGAAAATGATTTTGTAAAACATTTCTAAAACAACCATAAAAAACAACTTCAACAATTAGAACAATAACACATCCCCATAAAAACTACCATCATTCCACTTGATTCGTCTAAAAGAAGATACCATTTACAGTTGGCAGAATAGTGCTGAAACGGGCTCGGAACATAGACGACCGCCATTTAAGAATGACTTAAAGAAATTGATTATGGACATTGTATATGTCGTTACCGTTTTCAAGAAGGGACGGGCATGTCCACTATCAACATACATTATTTTGTTATGCGAATATCTACAAAGTGTCAACTTCACTTTACGACTATCATCAAGTATAAGCTGACTTGATGGAAATTATGCTTGAAAAAATTTTGCCTCATTGTCTTTTTTTCATTTACACCCTGACTGGGAATGTTTCTTTCACAAGGAGCAACATATATCGCATCATCAAAATACTGTTCTAGAACTTCCTGTACCATATTCCTTGACTGATGAGGAGTAGTGTATCTTGCAATGGCACATGTATTCACGACCATAATGTCCGTTAGGTCGATTACGTCCGACAACAGAATTTGACGAGCAATGGCCGATTATGTCCGACCCATTAAGTCCGACAGCCGATTATGTCCGACCCATTGTGTTCGATGGCCGATAATGTCCGACCCATTATGTCCGACAGCGCTTATGTCAGACCCATTATGTCCGACGGCCGATTATGTCCAACCCATTAAGTCCGACGGCCGATTATGTCCGATCCATTGTGACCGACGGCCGATTATGTCCGACCCATTAAGTCCAACAGCTATTATATGCAAACCATTATGTCCGACGGCCGATTATGTCCGACCCATCGTGTCCGACAGCCGATTACGTCCGACCCAATGGAAAGCCATCTTCTAAGCTAATATAGATGAACAAGTACTGAAATTGCTCAATCCGTTCAAAGAATATCACCATTTAAACACAATCACCCTAAAACCTATATCGTCCGAAAAGAAAAAAAATCATTGTGTGTTTCACTGTTTTAACTGTTTGGAACAAAATAGAAACTGACACAGAATACTTGTTTCAACAACTGTCACCAACTGGAGTACACAATGTCTTTATTAACAACCCTGTTTAGGCAAACGATATGATTTACAAATTCTACTTTTTTTGAAGGACTGGCCTTCAAAGGGATTCTATTGAATATTTTTTTAACATTTAAACTGGTGATGTTTGACGATAATTGCGACGACGATTCTGGAAATCGCAGACAGGTTTAGGGTAATTGTGTTGTAATGGTGATATTTTCTGAACAGATTAACCAATTTCAGTATTTTTTTTCATCTAAAAGTAACTTTTGAAATAGGCTTTCCAGTCATTATTATTTTTGCTGCTACAGATTTTTTTTAAATATGAAATATAATTGTGGGGGTTTGAGTTCCGCTTTTTTGACTCACCGTGTATGCGAATGACGCAGTTGCCAAGAGTCAAGTAGCTTCATTTTAAAAGGCTGTGGATTTTCTTATCATAGGACCACGGTCCATTTAAAGATTAATCCATTCAGGACTGAGGTAATCTTCATTTGCTAGAGAATGACTTGCCGCTGGCCCTATCCTCCTCCATTTGTAGTTACTATTTTTGGCGCAATTTTTCCCGAAAATCAGCACTAATGTTGGTTGACACTATGGCCAGTACATTCACTTGATATGATTGGCATTTCAGTAGAAACCATAAGCTCTGGCAGGATCTTATACATGTCAATTGGTGGTCGAGGTTTATGTTTGTCTGTCCTTAAAAATGTATACACAAAAAAGGACCCTTAATTAAAAACAAATGGAATAAATAAATATCAATCGAAAAATAAAATAATTGAAATATTTAAACATTGTACATAACAGTTTGGAAAGTTGCCAAATATTTGCAGCAGCGTTATATTCACGCGGTATTTTTCACAAATCGATATAAATTAAGGCATAGGCCTATATACAAAGTAGGGATTTCCTCAATATGTGACATCGGCTTCGCATTTTTGGACGTCGCATTTTCAAGGGCAAAAGAATAAACTTTTGGGGGCCCCAAAATGTGCAGGTTGGTTTAGGTCTCGGGACCCGCTTAATGTTAGATTTTAGATGCTCTGTGGTGCAAGTTGAGGCAGTTTCTTATCACTTTACCCACGTTTTTTTCGAGCAAAAGATGGTGGTGTATGCAGTGGCTGCCTTTTTTGCGACATCATTAACAATTTCCAGGTTTTACCGGACAAACCAAGCAGCGCGTCATGTGCGGGGAGTCGTCGAAGCGATCATATACTACAGTGCGTCTCAATCACGCCTCCTCTACCTGGACTTTAAAATAAAATATGGACATTCGCTGTAGAAAGCTATGTGCATATCCAACGTCCAATACCCAAATAAAATGTGGACATTCGCAGTACAAACAAACTTAATTGCATTTCCAATGTTTGTGGGTTAATACACAATCATTGGAACTGAGCATTGCGTATTGATAGAGTTGTCGGCGAGTTTCACGGCAGGGAGCTTTTCAATCAAGCCTCCACCAGCACCTCCAAAAATGTTGACATTAGATGTAGTACAATTCCCCAATTATGTAAAGTACTTACCTGCAATATAATTGGAATTATATGAGACAATGGAGGAGAGACTCACCCTGTAGATTGTTTCTCGTATTGCAATCTGATCCACCCTTAGAAGCTAATAGAACATACCTCATTAGCATAACAAAAGGCCCTTCCCCGGCGTGGTAGTGAAGCTGCGTTCTCCCAGGGTATCTGTGTCTTTTTGAAGCTAGTAGTAAGGTAACGGTAGTAAGGTAAACCTCATCGGAAACCAACCAGAATTACTCGGGCGGGTTATCTGCAGTAAGAAAATGAAGAAAAAGGGAGGGAGGTTGAGTCTCTCCTCCATTGTCTCATATAATTCCAATTATATTGCAGGTAAGTACTTTACATAATTGGGGAATTATATTTCGCCAACTCCGGAGAGACTCACCCTGTAGACTTTAAAGCTGCTGTGTTGCCGATGACAGCACAGCACCTCCAAAGTCTGACAGAGGGAGGTGTCTGTGGTAGAAATTGGCAAAGGTAGAGGCTGATGACCAGTCTGCTGTTTTTAAAATTTCACTTGTGGAGACCCCAGCTCGAGCTGCGGCTGAAGTACTTGCACTTCTTGTTGAGTGGGCCTGAAACTGTGATGTATCAATGCCAGACTGAGACATTAAGTCTTTCAACCATCTAGAAATTGTTGAGGGGACCACTGGATGGAATGGCTTTGAATGGGAGAGGAAAAGCTGGGTCATCCTAGAAGAACCAGTACCTCTGTGATGTTGGGTTCTCTGAAGATACTCTTCTAAAGAACGAACTGGGCAGAGATTTCTGACCGGCTGGAACTTGGAAATCTCAATTTGATGGAAGGGCTTACTGACAGAAACACACCTCGATGGCTTGACAAGGAGAAAACGGTATTTTCCATCAGATGATCGAGTCATGTTATCGACATCAATAGCTGTCAAGGAAGCTCGGCGACTGGCAGTTACAAGTGCAAGCAGCATGGCTAACTTGAGGGTTAACTGCCTCAAGGACAAACGGCGATTGTCGGGGAGAGACTTGATGAATCTAAGGACCTTCCCAACGTCCCATGTGCTGTTGTACTTCGGTCTTGGAGGGCGAAGTCCAAAAATACCTTTAAAGAAACGTTTCACTAAACGATGTTGACCCATAGGCAAATTATCAATTAAGCAGTGAGCTGATGAAATCGCAGAACGATAGCCATTAATGGTTCTGTAGGACAGACCTTCGTCAAACAACTGCTGAAGAAACTCTAAGAAATCAGCTACAGGGGTGTGAACTGGATCAAGTTTCCTCTGTAAACACCAGCTTGCCCACCTTCTCCATGCTGAGTTATACTGGGCATTGGACTGTGGTCTCCAAGAAGCAAGGATTGTGGCTGACACCGTCTGTGAAAGTCCCTCTGAAGAGAGATTTGCCCTGATAACTTCCATGCGGCCAGTTGGAGGTGGCCTATCAGTGGATGAACTTGTGACCGATTGTGGGGAAGCTGAAGGAGATCTGTTCTCCGTGGGAGGAGCAGTGGCACGTCTATTGCTAGTTCCAGCAGCATGGGGTACCAAGCTTGAGTCTTCCATACTGGAGCGACAAGAACAACTGTAGCTTCCTCTCTGCGGATCTTTTGAAGGATTCTCAGAAGAAGTGAAAACGGAGGAAAAGCGTAGCCGTTTACATCCTTCCAGTTTAGAAGAGCATTGACCCTCCAAGCCATGGGGTCTGGCTGCCATGAAACGAACGTTTCTAGTTGTGTATTCAGGCGAGACGCAAAGAGGTCTACCGATGGGACAAAATGTAGGGCATCCATGATGCTGCGGAAGACTTCTGGGAGGAGTTGCCATTCCGCCCGATCGTCGAACACTCGTGACATCCTGTCTGCTGTGATGTTCTGGGACCCCGGTATATGTTGAGCTGCTAGAGTGATGTTTCTCTTGAGACACCATACCCAGATCTTGACAGCTAGTCGAGACATTGGAACCGAGTGAGTCCCTCCTTGGTGGTTGATATATGCAATGGCTGTTGAACTGTCCATCTGAAGAAGAACATGGATGTCCCGCCTCTCTGCGAGGAGAGATCGGATGGCATACCAAACTGCTAACAGTTCGAGGTAGTTGATATGATGTTGTTGTTCTAGAGTTGTCCAACGGCCGCCTATCGTGGAGTGAAGACAAGCTCCCCATCCCGACATAGAAGCGTCCGTTTGAAGGGTCAAATCTGGCGTCGGATGAAGAAAATGCCGACCGTTCCATGCATGCAGACATTGCACCCATGTTCGCAGCTCCTCCAGGGAAGCTTGTGAAAGGGTGACAGCTGATTCGTAACTGTTCTCCCTGCGGAGGGCGGAGATTTTGTCCTCCTGAAGACTGCGGTAGAAGATCTGGGCTTGAAAAACTGCCAGAATTGTGGACGATAACCTGCCGATGAGGCTTGAGAGTTGTCGAACTGTGACAGTTTGCGCCTCCAAAATCTCTTGGCAGTGGCTGATTATCTTTACGATCTTCTCCTGGTTCAGAGAGAGAGTCATGGATGAAGAGTCGATAAGAAAACCAAGGTATGTTAAATTCTGAGTAGGGACAAGAATGGATTTCTCTATGTTGATAATGAAACCCAAATCTTGAAGGAGACTGGTTGCCACTTGAGTATTTGTCACACATCCCTCGTAGGAAGACTCGAGGATAAGGATATCATCCAGGTAAAAAATACAACGAATACCACGTTGTCTGAGGTGGAAGACAAGTGGTTTAAGTATCTTAGTAAAGGTACGGGGCGCACTACACAATCCGAAAGGAAGACAAGTAAACTCATAAATGACCTTGTTCCAGAAAAAACGGAGATATTTCCTATGCTCAGAATTAATAGGAACTGAAAAATAAGCATCCTTCAGGTCTATTTTACACATCCAATCCCCCTGCACTAAGAGATCTTTCACTGAAGAAATGTTTTCCATCTTGAAATGATGGTACGAGATAAACCTATTCAAAGGTCTTAAATTAATCACTGGACGGAGATCCCCAGAAGACTTAGGAACCATGAACAAAGTAGAAATAAATTGTCCCTGAACGGGTTGAACTTCTGAAACTGCACCTTTATCGAGCATCTTCTGTATCTCGAGGTTAAAAATTGAAGCGTGTTCCTCGGACTGAGCCCGGGTCACAGGAACAAAAGACTGAACCGGCGTAGATGTGAAACTGATACAGTAACCATCCACGGCTTGAAGAACCCAAGGGTCATGAGTCAACTTCAACCAGTTGTGAGAAAAATATTTCAAACGACCAGCAGGGGGTACAGAAAATGCTGGAGAGGCACCAGTGATGGGCATAAACAGCTGGGCATCTAGTTTTTTGAACTAGACTTATCTGTAGTGGCGTAGGCCGTCTTGGGATTTCGCGATCTTGGGAAATCCTTGAACTGTTGGTAATTCCTACCTGGGAAGCGATTGTAGGCACCCCGTGATGGGCGACGCCCTCTGAACGACCTGGAGGCCAGTTGATAAGGCGTGAAACGTCTATCCTTAGAAGGGTTAGACTGCTGAGATTTTCCGCCTGTGCCCGTGACTTTGGAGGCCAATTTGTTGACCTTTTCTGTCTCCTCAATGTCTTTCATCAAGGATTATCCGAAGAGTTCACCTAACGAAGGAGGGTTCTTCTTGAGGACATCAAACTTGCGGTCGACAATGTCATCAAATGCATGTTGTCTCGCCAAGGCGAGCCCTTGACTGCCAGAGCCGAGTAAAATAATGGCCGACGAAAGATGATCCTGGACGAGTTCTTTAGGAACTTCATTGGGGCACTCATCATCTGTAACTGCGTCAAAAAGGCGTAGCAAGGGTTTGACTGCCTCGAGGATATGAGTATGGGAAGCTCTTAACTTCTCATCACTGTTAATGGTTGAGGAATTTACCTGTTTGAACACCTTCTTCAAACCAGACGGAAGTTCCGGGGCGGAAAAGAATTTTCCCTGGCCCGACGGGACGTTGTACGGTGAAATTTCCTCTTTATAATCGTCGGAGGACAACTTGTGGGTTCTCAGTTCCTCCCACCATGAAATCACCTTCTCTGAGATAGGATTTATACCTGTGTCTTTCTTGTGAGGAAGGCGAAAGGGCTCTCTACCGGCAGTAGAAACTGCGGAAAAGGAGGACTCAGACTCGTCGTCACTAACGTTGACTATTTCAAGATGGCCGCCGTCATCAGCCGCAGCAGCAGGAGGGCGCTGTGCATGTGAGCCAGGGGCCGTCAGAGTTGGAGCGCTAGCGGGAGGATGCTCCGAGAGACCGCTGTAAATCGGCTGCGGAAAATACTGGACAGGGATGCCCCACTGATTGAATAAACCAGCAGGCATCGTTGATGGGCCAGGGCCACCAGGGGTTCCCCAGGGAGCTGATGGTGGCTGAGGGTACCAGTAGCCCGACTGAGTGGGGAACTGTGGAAAGTGCGGTTGAGCTGTAGTCGGTGGGCGTGGCGCACCAGGGCCAGTACCAGACGGAGCTGACGTACTAGGCCGCGGATCTGTTACACTTGCAGGGGGCTTTGGGCATGGAGACCCGCCGCCCGAAAAGCCGTCAGCCCACTGAGGAGCCTTGGCTTGGTCCGCCAAATTTACCCCCGACGGGGAAATTTCTCTAGCTGCCATAGCTAAGATGTCTTCTGCAGGCGAAGGGGGTTTCTCATCGTCAGGGGGTCGAGACATCGTGCACGGAGCTGAAGGAAAACTCTGACGAGACTTCGGCATGATGGAGTAAATCCTTGTAATTTATCACGGAAAGTTGTCGTTTAGAACGCGAGTAAGATAAAAGCGTGTGGATAGACTGCGACACAAAAAAACAAAGACACAGATACCCTGGGAGAACGCAGCTTCACTACCACGCCGGGGAAGGGCCTTTTGTTATGCTAATGAGGTATGTTCTATTAGCTTCTAAGGGTGGATCAGATTGCAATACGAGAAACAATCTACAGGGTGAGTCTCTCCGGAGTTGGCGAAATATAATGTGCATTTCTGATTTCAGTGCATTACTGGCCAAGCTGAGCAGTCCGTCTTGTGGGAGTTGTCAACGAGATATTTGGCCGTGCTGCGTCTCAATCACGCCTCCTGCACGTTGACTTCAACAAATATGGAAATTCGCTGTAGATACCCAAGGGCGGATCCGGGGGGGGGGGCCAAAGGGGGCCATGCCCCCCCCCCCCCCCCAAAAATCGCAATGTGACATCGCAATAAAGGCAGGCAAATGAGTACACCACCATCTTTTCCTCCAAAAAACATTGGTTAAAGTGGTCAGAAATTGCCTCAGATCGCACCACAGAGCATCTAGAATCCAAAACATTTTCGGGGCCCTTAAGGGGGCCCCGAACCCCACGCCGTAATTTTTTTGACCCACTTTTTAGGGGGACCAATTTTTTTTTTGGCCCCCCAAAAAATTGTGTTCTGGATCCGCCCTTGTAGATACCTATATAATGTGAATATCCTATGTCCAATATCAAAAAAAATAAAATGGACAATCTCGAAATGGACTCACTCTCGTAACTGTGAAGCGGTTTGCGAACAAAGGAATGACGTGCGTGGCTGGCTCCCGATTAACGAATCCTCAGTGATACAACTTTGGATGTTCGTAGCATTGGGGAGGCGGGAACTATATTAGGTCGTAATACAGACTGCAACCGCGCCACCGCCGAGCGAGCGTTGCGTTCCAGGTTGAGCTACATAAATGAAATCGATTTAATAGAAATGTACTCGATTTTGTACTCCCTAGTACTGGAGTCGAATACCGAGTACCAAAAATCGAGTCCGTGCAAAATTTGGGTACAAAGAATCGAGTACGGCCAAGTCCAAGTAGTTTTCGAGTATTGATAGTCGAGTACGGGCCAAGTACTAGCGTGTACTCTAGTTGTACTCTAGAACGAGTACTCCAACACTGGATAGATATCACTGTCATTTTGTGTGTATTACGTATACTGTACAGTACCGTATGCTACAGTGTAGGCCATATCGTACATGTGAACATTACACTGTGTGTGAAATTATTTCGGCTACTGTGTGCACAAAATAGATAAACTGTTCTTGCAGTGATGGATGTATTGCCGCCGCCAAACGCACTTGAACTTACCGGTTATGTGGCAAAAAACTGGAAAAGGCTCAAACAACGTTTCCAGTTGTACATCATTGCAAATGGGGCATCTATAAGAAGGACGACAGACATTAAACGTCAATCCTGCTGCATGTTATCGGTGTTAAACTGCACCCCCAAGACCAACTTGACACTGGAGAATTTCACTTCAATAACTGTTGCCAGCAATCTGGTGAAGGCATTGACGCGTACCTTACTACTCTTTAAATTCCAGCGATTGAAAATTCACTCTTGAGGAGTGAATTCTTACTCTTAAGCACATTGGAATCAGGGACAAGACGATTAAGAGCGAAAAAAACTCTAATTTTAGATCGAACAAGATTGAGGGAAACCACTCTTAATTTCGATTGGAATTCGATTTTTTCGATTGACTGATCCTCATTCTTATACCGACTGAATATGTTTGGCCACTCCAATTTTAGAGTGATATTAATACTGAGAAATTCACTCCCAAAGCCGGTTCTAGATTAAAACATTTCGGGTACAAAACCGAGATTCGAACCCGCAACCTCGTGGTGCAAAATTACGACCCTGTGCTGCCTCACTGCTCGCTGGGGAAAATAAGAATCATATACAAGCGTACGTATAACACAAGTATCATAGAGGGCGCTAAACACCAAAGTATATGCGGATGTCGTTAGTGAAAAGAAAATTTGCGGCCCGGCCGCCCGCACCCGCTGCTCCCGCCGAAAACATCTCGTCCCACGTGATCCGAACTTGCACTCGTGATTGGATCATAGTGCCACCACGTGATTCCAATTACTTCTGTAATCGGATATACCGCATAGTCAACTTCAATCTTTGTCGGATTGAACAACCTTGTCGTACATATCATTCCCATTTCAGCTGCAGATCCACTTTGATTTCTATTCACTCGAACAATCAGAAATTCAATTCAAGAGTGAACATATTTCCTAACGTTAGTCCGAGTGAAATGTTCACTCCTTGGAATTTGGAGAGTATACTAAAAAAAAAGCACAGCAAAAAGTGTGAATTTGGCACACTGCAGGATTCGCTGTCAAAGACAGACTGGTATGTGGCATCGTCGCTATTGTAAGCAGAGAACGCCCTGCTTCGAGAGGAAGACTTAACTCTCAAAAAAGCAGTCGAAATCTGCTAGGCTGCTGAGTTAGTGAAAGAGCGTTTAAAGGAGCTACAATTTACAACTCCAACAGTCCACGCCGTGAAGGAAATCCCAGACAATGGAAGCCAAGAAATGATCAACAGCAACACACTAGTAGTGACAAACATCACTGTAGACGATGCGACAACTGGCATGTCTCGGGAAAATGTTCAGCGCACGGTAAAACATGTGCTTACTGAAGAGGAAACAATCATTTTGCCAAATGTTGCTTCAAGAAACGCGCTCAGGGCAAAGTGCACACAGTAGACAATGACAAGTCTACTGACTTTTTTTCTGGACACCATTACGGTAGATTCAGTCAAGACACAAGCAAATGATTGGATTTTCCTCTCGCTGTGAATGGTACAATCGTACCTGTCAAATTTGATACAGGGGCACAGGTGAACATTTTGCCGGAAACAGACTTCAATCGTCTGAAAAAATAAGCCACAACTATACACCCAGCCACAGAGACACTGAAAGCATATAGCCACAGCAAGATAATCGTCAAAGGCAAGTGCGTAATGACTGTGGACCATGCAGCTCGAAAACACAAAATGCTGTTCTTCGTCGTCCCAGGTGATAAACAGCAATGTTGGGCAGACAAGCTTGCGAAAAGTTAGGGCTTGTCAAAGTAGCCTGTGCTGTCACGAATCAGGAGCAACCCAAGGACCCCAACGACAACTACGCGAACCTGCTACACGAATACGGTGACATATTCGAAGGACTGGGTTGTTTATCAGGGATGCACACAATCGTCATTGAAGAGACAGCACAGCCAGTTGTACATGCCTGCCGCAAAGTACCATTCGCACTCCAAAATGGTCAGAAGAGAGAGCTTGAAAGTCTTGGCGTCGTCACCAGAGTGGATGAGCCTACCAACAATTCCCTTGTCGATGTCAAGAAAAAAGAATGGAGACATTCGTGTGTGCATGGATCCCATGCAAACAATTATTTATGCATGTTATGCATTTTTATTTTCGAGCATTGCGCATCCTTTGATACCAAAAATATAAAAATCGGACCACGGGTTGCCGCGCGCGCAGCGAAAAAGTTTTCCAGCGCTACGCGCCGTGAAAACTGAATTTTCCCATATACGTCGTGTACACAGAGCGAATTACAATTCGCGCATATGATTAATAATGTACCATAATTCAAAACCCTTTGACCTATAGTCATGACATTTCTTGGGTATGTTTATGACGAGTTGCCCTTATGCATGTACTAAGTTTCAAAATTTTTCGTCGCTCGATGACCGAGATCTTAGGGGGGGGGCAGAATCCGTCTCCCCCCCCCCTCCCGACTGAGAGATGGTCCAAATAATCCGGCCCTTTTAAAGTTAAAGAAGCGAGGTTTTGACAATTTTCCCCAAACCACTTGTACGGCATGAGAAAGGATGGATGACCCATATTTGATACAGAACAATTGGGAGAAAAAAATCTCTGACTTCGATATCTGGCCTGAAAACAAGCACTCTGTTTGCAACTGCGTTGCTGGCGCCCCCCACGGGATTTAATTGACTTCCAGCTCCTTCCAACCCCAAATCACCCCCCCCCCCTTTCGCTCGAAATTGCTGTGATCAGATGACGGTCCATCGGCTTCCTTCAGATCTGAGAGCATTTGTTGCAGAACCGCCATTGGAGACCCCCTTTTTTGAAACGCTGCCCCCCCCCCATGTCACGCCCCCTGAAAAACATTGCCGTAAAATGCGCATGCGCACCGCTAACGATTGAGGACGCCATCTTGACACTACACGTTGCAGACCAGTAAATACGTTTCCATAGACCCCAATAGTAAATGTCTCCACTTCAGAACTTCAGGAAAAATATTCACAACTCTCTGAGGTGTTCAAGACGTACATCAAATTAGTGCTAATTTCATCATCTTTCTTTTTTTGGTGGGTAACCAATGACTTTTTTCCATCCAAAGATGTTCACCCTGAAAAGCAGTCCTGAAGCCAATCGCCATTTTGATAATGGACGCCTACACTCCAGTGCAAAAAACAGCCATTTCAGGGCCTAATCATCATCCACATTTCACAGAAATACCAGCTCGCAGTCCTCTGCACGGCTTCCACCTATATTTTGTACAAACCCTCAAGTTCATGGCCCACAATATGCTAAAATACCGAAGAATTTGAGGGCATGCAAATCGTGATTTGGCC